GATTCATTTATGGGTGCAAATGTTTTACCTACATGCATGTGTATATACCATTTGCAAGTCTGGTGTTTGTGGAGTCCAGAAGGTGATACTGAATCTCCTAGAATCAGAATTAAAAATAATTATTAGCCATGCTGGAACAAAACTCTGGTTCTGGACAAGAATAACAAGCATTCTGAACAACTGAGCCATCACTCCAGCTTCCAAACACACTCTGATTGCAGAACATACAGAAATTAATTTTGAACTCACCAAGAGGTTTTCTCTTTGCTATCTATCTTTCATAGGACTAGAAGGTACTATGTGGATTGCTGAGGGAGAGAAGACATTAGTGGCTATATCTAGCACTGGACCTGCATGTTATAATCCCAATTTATGATGCAAAATCTGCCCACTGGTGCAATGATGGCAAAACCGTTTATGTGAGCAATCAACTGCTCTCTTAATTGAACTTGAGGCCTGCTTCACAGGGGAGAATTTATGCTGATACTACAAACACAGTCAAAATGCAATAAATTGAGAAGTCAGAGGTCCAAATGGGGAACTGACAGATGTTGTTTGGCTAAGTGGTTATGGTGCTAAGCTTCCTTTTAAATGTTTATGTTAACAGACTTGTGAAGTTCTCAACTTTAATCTGAGAAGTTTCTTAGTTCAGTGGGTAGTGCTCAATGAAGGGACTCCTTGCTGTTTGAAGTGATGAAAAATATGGGAGTTTGAGTGTTCAGTCAAAGATTGTTCAGCTCAACGATTGTGAGTGAAGTCTGCTGAATGGCAGACTCAGCCAGAGGGTTAGGGAGAAGACTATTAAATGCTATCCTCTGGATATGACAGGATTGTTACATGCATTGAACACAAGAAGCTCCTGTATAAGACCTGTACAAGAGCAATCCAATCAAAAGTTCCAGTACACAAAGAGAAGGCGCTCCCAAGACCCCTCACCTAGTCAAGGAGCTACTAATAGTTGATGTGTGCATGGACAAAAGTTACTGGACTCAAGCAGTGATTCTTTTAAATGACATGACATAGAGAGGGAATATTTTGGGGGAAAGGTTGTCCCAAGGGGAGTTAGAGGCAGAGAGTAGAACAATGAATACGATTAAGAGACATTATACACATTTGTGAAAATTTTCAAAGAATAAACAGTTTTTTTAATTAGGACTTTGTATATATAAGTTCTCATTAAGGATGACCAAACACATGGGAGAGTAGAGAATAGTATTCAGGACTTACATCCCCCCCAAAAAAAGTCAATCAATGTATTTAAAGATATGCTACACCAGAGAAATTCAAAGGCTATGGGAAGGTACATGGGACGGCTGAAGCTTTTGTGTCATATTGGTGACAATGTCAGCTGGTGCGCTTGCTCAGGTAGAGTGATCTTTCTGCAACCACACAGAAGAATATCTGAAAAAGATGGAAAATGTCTCAATAGTGCAGAAGATAAGTACATTGTGGTAGAACCGAATAGCATGCTGTAATACCCTCTCCTAAGCAAAATGGTCAAAGGAGTTAAGAGTCCAAGATATTTATTGAGAGTAATGGCTATGAGATGAATGGATCTGGTCAAGGCTTCAAACCACACTTCAGATATGATATTTGTGAAAGAAGGGAAAATGGCCCCATGCTATGTATGTGTCCTGAGAAATCTGACTTGGGCTAGTAGGAGCATTCAATACAAACATTGTCCATGGAGGAGCCCCAAATGTAACCAAAGGGCTAGGCCTCAATTATCCTTCCCAAACACATCATTGTGGGCTAGTTTTTTCTCATACAGACGATGTCCTGCACTTGAATGTTCTAGCAGACCCCAGAGCCCTCATAGCTAGAGTCTCCCGTGTAGTAGAACATGGTAAAATCAACTCAGGAAAACACATTACTATAGAACATGGCAGCATGGAAAGACCATGCAATTACAACCCTGACAAAAGAACCCAGACTCCAAAGATTATAGAGGTCCATGCATATAGAACTCAAAAAAAATTTACAAATAATTTATGCATTAAAAGGAATACATAACACATAAACTCAGAGAACAAAAGCCTGGGAGAATAAAGGCTTTGGAGGCATTTGCGGAAAGTTGTGAAAAGAACAAAATACATTTGGCACAAAAGACACAAATACATTTATCAAAATATTTCTATTATTAGTAAACTTCTATTGTTCATAGGAAGCAGGTAACAGGGTTCTTTCGTTTATTTGTATAAATAACTTTTGATGGGTTAATAACTATCATATTTCTAACCCAGAAAGTCCTGGGCAGACTAATAATAGCCTAACACAGCACTTCTCAACTTCTAGGTGACACAAGGAAAAACAAGAGAAATGCCAATTAAGATGTTCCTTTTAATTGGGCTTGCATTCTGCTTTGCATAATAATCCTTGCCTGTGTTTTTAAATATAATCTCCCTGTAGCTCGTCCCCACACAATGCTTGTCATTCTCCCTTTTTCCCTTGGTTGAGCCCAGCCTGCAAATATCCTCAGAATAATGGCGTAGTGGAGAGAAACCTGGGAAATGTTTAGACCACAGCACTGCAGTAAGGCAACGTGTTGGGGAACAGAAGGGAGTTGTCGAGGCTCGGAGAATCTAGGTGCTACTCCCACAATCAGCAAACAAAAGCTGGAAGAGTATTCACGCTGCTCACGGATGCTTTCCTCCGTGCACTGCGACACACAGCTACACATAAGCTAACACACACAGAAGGGAGCAGAGTGTCATAATGGAATCGGATGTGTATGGACTGAGTTTGATCTGAACGCTACTACTAGTTGGATCTTTGAAGTGTTTAAACGTTCTGGGCTTAGGTTTCAAGGTTAGAAGCTGAAGAAACTCAGCCACTTGATCTCAGAGCCCTTTCTGATGGTTTTTGCATTCTGATTATGAGCACTGCGTATGTGTCTTGTGATTTTTTTTTTAAGCAAATTAACTCCTTTAAAGAAAAGATTTAATGAGGCAGTCATGGAAGACATTCTGCCAGGACATTTTCTTTCCTTTTTACCTGTTCCTTCTCTAACAGAAATCCAATTTTAGTCTCCACTATCTGTTCCTTGAAAGAGAAAAAAAAAGTCTCTCTATCCTAGCTTTGATTATGCTGCCTATTTAAACTATAGCCCATAAAATAGGTCCCTCACTTGCATTTGCTTTTAAACATGGACCCCTAGCAGATCCTGGGTGAGGGGAATGCATGGGGAAGGCACATAACAGATGGAGCCTTCTATGCTCCAGGTTGTGTTCTAAGTATGACTCCTGGAGCTGTGGAAGCTGATATGGGGCCCTCAGGGAGTCAATCTAAGATGAGGACAGTGCTGGTACCCTGTGGATGACAGGAGCTTGGTACCAAGTACTTGGTACTTGATGACATTCAAAGTCACAGATAGTACTGTTCCCTGAGCCTGTATTGTAAACTTCATATTACGTGAGATATATTTGTTCATTGTTGAGTCCAGCTTGACCCATTATTTTCTTACTTTCTGCCAAAGACATCCTGATCCAAGAGGCATGCTAATATTTACCATGCAGAAGGATTGTGAATACGCCTTGTGCCAGAACTTATGATTAACATTATATTTGTAGCAAAATACATAAAGACATTAATTATATTACTTGACACACACACACATTCTCACTCACACACACACACATATATATAGATAGAAAGATAGATAGATTAGTCTTTAAATCTACAAAGTTTTATTATATAGTTTAGAGTATCCAATACCCTATTAAATTCTGCCTTCTCCCTCCCCCATACCAAGGACAATGGTACTAAGGATGTTGAAAAGTCATTTACATATTAGAAATTCATAACCTACTGTATTTTTAGGTATCGAGAAAAGATAAAAGAAATGGGCAACTTTGGAAACGTATGAGCATGTGCAGTGATGAGGCACACTTGCTGGTAGCAGTCAAGTGACAAAGAAATCCCCAAACCCTGAGAAAGCACACCAGGCTGTATAGACTACACTCACTCCCAAAGGTGTTACAGTTTCTACCAGCTTCTAGATCACCAGAGAAATGACTATAGAGCACCAGAGAAACTCTAATGTGGCGTTAGATTCCTTTAGTCCTGGGACATGTTATCTCCTTCCTATCGGCTCTGCTGAGTGTCAGGTAGTTAGTTTATGTCAAGTATGATCCTCTGATAGTTCGGGCAGTGTAGATAAATGGCTAAGAGGACTTACCCTGGGCAGGGACATTTTCATCACCTGGTCTGTGCTGGCTCAGTGAGTGAACTGTGGCAGATATTGAATAGTAATGAGCGCTTCAATCGGCCATTAGATCACTGAGCTCTGAGACTACAAAGAATCCAGAGAAGAATCTAAACAGAAAAACACGACTTTCCTGCTGATTTTAGCAAAGCCAAAGCCTTTCTGGCAGTGACTAAAGTCGAGATTATGAAAATGGTTAGGAAAAGAGATGACTGTCTGCGACTGACGTGCCTCAACATCGGGATTTATAGGAGAGACCGGAAGTCCTTCAAGATACACCTGCTACTACTAGCCTTTCACTTTCTCTTCAAAGGAAGTGGGTGGAATTTCTTTCTAATTCTCCCTTCTCTGTGGAAGTGTGGCTCTTAATTGGCTTACACTTTTTGAAGTCAGCATTGCCACAGTAAAAACTGAAAGCACGGAACGGGATATTTGGTGTCCTACAGTCTCACTTTCACATCATAAAAGACCGAATTATTCTAAGTATAACTGAGTGCCAAGTCTAAGTCACATCATTCCACAGTGGGGAAAATCAACTGATGATTAGTGATACCCACGCTGTGTCTTATAGAAGAGCTGAAATAAGGAGGTAGATGTGTAGGAAGAAGGAGGAGTCGGGAGAGTGGTAGAGAAGGGGGTAAGAGAGAGTTTCCTGAGTATGTGGCGGGGTGGGAGAGGTAGGGAGATCAGAATACATTGAACATATCTTAAATTGTCTCATACATTTTTTTTTTTTTAGTTCTAAAGAGATGCTGTAGTTGAGAGAGTAACCAATCAATATCTGATTTGATTTTAGGTCAACTCCATGAAACTGAACCCATATCCAAGGCTGTTTGGATGACCAAGAACCTGAGACTAGATAACCCAGGGACCTAAGGTAAAACCAAATACTTCTCTTCTAAATAATAATAATGATGATGATAATTTTAAAAGTAGCAATTATATGACTTCTAATGTCATTCTGCTATGTCCATAGATGAGTGCCTTGCTCCGCCATTACCAGAGAAGCTCCCTGTGCAGCAGATGGGAGCTAATGGTGAGACTCCCAGTCAGACAACCCACTTAGGACCGAGAGTTCCCTTCATTTTCTGCACATTGTCTGACTGAAGGGATCCTGGAACTCTCAGCCTTAAATGGGATGTCTCCATCAAATCCCTCTCTTTATGGCTCATTGAATCGTGCAAAAAGGGAGGTAGAAAGAACATATGAGCCAGAAATGGAAGACATTAAGGACACAAGGCCCTCCAAATTAACAAGACTGATGCAAACAGGAACTCACAGAGATGAAGACAGGCACAGGGCCTGCACAGGTCTGAGCTAGATGGAGTCTTAGAGCTGAAAGGAGAAAAAGGAGATGAGGACACAAATCCCCACCCCTAGTCCAGAAGTTCTCCCCAATTGATAACTGCATGCGAATGAAACTTTAGTTTTCTCCAAGTGAGTCTTACTGGGGAAACAAACTACACCACTTAAGGATAGGCCACATGTCCCGCAGTAGAGGCCAACAGAAAATAAACTCAACGGCATCTTTGGAGGTTCCTTTTTTTTAAATAATGTTGTGTCAACACTGTATTTTCATTTTGCTTATTTTGTTTATAAATTATATATATAACGTCGGATGAAGGTTTCCTCTGCTCTTGCCTTCTTTGTTCACGTTCTCCTTCCTTCTGCCTCTCCTTTGGACCTAGGGAGCTAGGTCCAGTGTTTCGACGTGGATCTCCACCTCCATCTCCCTCCATCGCCAGATGAGGGTTCTATGGTGATATGCAAAATGTTCATCAGTATGGTTGTGGGCCAAGGCCGGTTCAGGCACCCTCTCCTCTGTCCAGAGAACAATCTGGGGATCTCTCCTTGGACCTGGGATCCCCTTTATACTCAAGTCTCTTGTAAACCCTATAATGACTCCCTTAGTTGAGGTATAATGGCTGGCCCGGAGTCTTTCTGAAAAGCCATTGACAATGACACTGGGACTTGTTTTCTCTGCATATACTGGATTTTTGGGATCCAGTCTGTTTGGATACTCACCTTCCTGGACCTGGAGGGAGGGGGGAGGAACTTGAACTTCCCACAGGGCAGGAAACCCTGACTACTCTTAGGGATGGAGAGGGAGGAGGAGAGGGAGTGGGGGGAGTGGGAGGGTGTTGGGAGGAGGGGCGGAAATGGAAACTTTTATAATTTAATAAACTTGAATATATATATATATATATATATAAAATATGGCTAATATAGCTTCCAGTTTTGAGTTTTTCTTGGGTTCCTGAGTGTGGTGGTTTGAATAGGAATGCCCCATCGGCTCACATATTTGAATGCTTGGCCATTCCTGACACTACCTGACAAAGATTAGGAGGTGTGGATTTGTTAGAGGACCTACGTCACTGCGGGTGGCCTTTGAGGTTTCAAATGCTCAAGCCAGGCTCAGTGTCTCTTTCCTTTCTGCTGCCTGCAGATACGGATGTAGAATGCTCAGTTCCTCCAGAGCCACGTCCACCTGTGTGCAGCTATGCTGCCTGTCGTGATGACGCTGGACTAGACCTCTGAGCCTGTGCGTCAACCCCAAGGAAATGCTTTCCTTTGTAAGAGTTGCCTTGGTCATGGTGTTTCTTCACAGCAGGAGAACAAAGACAAAGACACCGGGTAGTTGAATGAGTGGGTCTCTGCATCTCTATTGGCTTCTGGTGCCTTTTCTTGAGATCTTTTCTTTCCGTTTGCTTTGTCCTCTTCCACTGTGTTTGTTTTTGTTTTTTGTTTTTGTTTCGTTTCATTTTATTATTATTATCCCTCAGAAGCCTGTTTACTTTCAAATGAGAGACAGAAAGGAAGCGGATCCAGATGGAAGGGGAAGTGGCGAGAAACTCAGAGGAGAAGAGGGATAGGAAGTCATAATCAAGTAATACTATATGAGAAAAAAATGATTTCAATAAAAGAAAAAAAATGATGTGTCAACTTCAGTGGTTCACAATGTGACCAGTTGAAAAAGTTGTCCTGGCTATGTCTGAAAAGGCATTTCTAAATGAGATTGGTATTTGAATCTGAAGACTTTGTAATACAGATTTCCCTTCCTTATGGGAGTGGGTATTAATCTGAATGTCTGAAGAGACCAAAGGACTGGGGAAGCCATGCTCAGTCCCTTCCTTCCAACCTCAGTGTAAGACCTGGGGCATCTTATGCCATTTTCTCCTTTCTTCCAGTTGAGATTTAAACCATGGGTTCTTCTGTCCTTAGGCCCATCTCCAGCATGAGAATAAAGACTGTGTACCTTCTGAGCCTCTAGGACAGCATGAAAGTCGACCTGCATGCATACAGTCACATCCCCCCTTTCCTTCTCCTCTCCCGTTTTCTCTCATCGCTCTTCTTCGCTTCCTTCCTCTCTCCCGGATATAGATTGCACTGGACTCAACCCAATAATTTTTTTTTAAAATATGTACAATTAAAGACCATTAGAATTCAAACATTGGTTCAATTATTACTTATAGTAAGCAACTATTTTCATGTTTCAGGTGTGATAATGACAGTTAACTACGTTAAAAATCTGTTCTTCTTGTAAGATAAAAGCTGATATATTTACAGATCAAATAGTTTATGAATGGGGAGCTATCAAAAATTAACAGGGGGCAAAAATAGAAGAGTGAGACCAAAGAAGACTAGTGTGAGCTGATCCATTATTGAAGCAGAAAACAGGTATATGAAGATTTTCCGCATATATCTTCCTGTGTTTAAAGTTCCCCAAAAGAAAACATCTTTTTAAAAATGTATGTAGAACTTTAAAATTTAGTTAAAAATGATTTTATCTAGAATTTTGATATGCATCACAAACTTGGGTCCTGGTCTTAATCTTAGTCAGACAAACTAGAGCAATCTACAGGACCATCAACTTCTTGAAAAAGTAGATAAGAGAATGCTAGTCTCTCAAAACCTTACACCTACCAGAATTTATATGTTTAATAAGAATACCAAAGTCATTATACATTCTTAATACAAATGCATTTTCTTGTTTAGTCCTTTATGCTATGGAGAATGAATACTGGGGTGGAAGTAGGAACTAAAATGGGGAAGTTAAAAAAATGTTGAAAAGCAAAACAAAATTATAAATTTTCTGAAAGGGGAATTTGCTCTTTGAATTGAATTGTTTTATTATTGACAACAAGCAAGAGAATAGATGTGTGTAGAATCTCCCACATAAAATTATTTGACAGCATATTTTACGTTTGATGTAACTATTCATCAGAACAATAAAAATGGGTAAAATAATCACTGTTATTAGGCCCTCAATTTGAATTAGTATAACTAGGTCCTTGCCTGCTGCCACCCGTGGTCTCTGAACACTGGTGACTTGTTCATCTGATCGTGAGTGTATGAGGGCTCAAAGTGACTCTCTGCCTGTGCCATGTTGGCAGAAACTGATGAGGACAGTTGCCAGGAGACAGGCAGTGACAATTGTCTTCAAACAGTTTATTACCCCTTTCAGAAAACAATCACCAAAAAAGGCTTACAATTTATTGTTTAATATGACAGAAGTTCATAGCATAAGAGAATTCTGTAGCTGTGAGAATTTTAAAATTCAGAGAGTCTTGGGAAAGAGAGGGTGATCTTGGTGTGAGTATTCAATGGGCTGGAATGAAAGGCCAGTCATTCCAGATTTGGGGATACCCGGAATGATGCCCACAAGTATGGAGAGTCCACATAGTCAGTAGGACCCTGATTAATGGAGTCAGGCTACAGTCAATGTTGGCTTTGAGTGAAAACCTACACTGAATTCTTCTCATCCTGTTAAGTGCCTTGTTCAAAAGCTGAAACATTATGGCCACAACACGGCTAGCAGAGGAAATGAAATGGAAGCCCATAAACCACAGAGTGCGAACCAGGAAAGCAAATTCAGAGGATAAGAGGAGTTTAACTTTGGGCTTGTACAGTAAAGGAGCCTTAGGTAGACCCAAAGGCCAGGGATCTGTGTGTCTGTGTGCGGGCCTCTAGTGATCATTAACTTTTGAGAGGGAAAATATGTTACACAGCCCTGCGAGTAAAAAAATGATTACAGTATTCCTTGTAGCTATTTCTGTATGTCGTAAAACCAGCAGGATTTTTTTAGAATGGGCTGATATGTTTTATCCCAGTCCTCCCTGAAGGGAATTAAAAGGCCCGGACCTGTAGAGATTTATTGGCTTGACAGAATGAAAACAATACCAAAAAAAAAAAAAAAAAAACGTGCATTCTCAGTGAGTTACTTCAATGCCTGGGCTTGCTGTTTTGAAGCCAGCTTCTGGCAGACTGTTTCCGAGGTAAGGGATTAGAAGAACCAGTCATTGATCTCTTGTTTCCATGGCTAACAAAGAATTCCCCACTGCCACACCCAGAAGCTGCTTGCTACACCCATAGCATTTTAGCAGCAGGATGGGGGGGGGGCGCTTTTTTTTTGTTTTTTTTTTTTTTTTTTTTTTTGATAATCTGAAAACCTCATGATGTCCTAAGTAGGGGAAGAGTGGGGAAACAAAATCTCTGCAAACATTTCCTTATGATCCCCTTGAAACTGGGCAAGTTAGAAATCGCTTTGGATGGTATGGAAAACAGAACACAACCAGGGCTCTTTGAGGAGTGTCCTGTCCTCAAGTCAGGGGGTGTGACTTACTGCACAGGGCAACAAAAACGCTGGCCCCAGACTGAACAGTTCCAGGTTCAGGATGAGGTATCTCCATGGCTCTGTCTGTGACGCCAAGTTGAATAAGCATTTCACAGCCTTTTGGGATGAAAGTTATGATTACAGGAATTACAGATCAAGGAAATGTGATGTTAACGAAGGGGAGGTATTTTGATATAAAGTCACCGAAATCATAAACAAATATGCCGACATCTCAAGGAGTGTGCATCTTGAGAAGCGGGAAG